GGCCCAAAGAGACCTCGAGAAGGCCCCAAAAGCGCCCCCTTCCCCCAAGGATTTTTCAGGACTCCCATGGATTCGCAAATATTCCTAAGGATCCTAAGGAATCCCAAGGACCCTAAGGAATCCTAAGGATCTTACGGAATCCTAAGGAATCATAAGGAATCCTAAGGAATCGAAGCACTTCTGAAGAAGAAAGAAATACCTCTGAAGAAGAAGGGAAGTACTTCTGAAGAAGAAAGAAGTACTTCTGAAGATCCCATGGTTGTAATTTGTCCCATTTATGGTTGCAATTCGCTCCGAACGGTTGGAATTGGGACTAGTCGGTTGTAATTCGTCCCATTTCGGGGGGAGGGGCGGGAGGATGAGGAGGAGGGGGGTTTTGGGAGAGAGGGAGGAGGGGGAGGGGAGAGAGGCAGGCCGGAGAAACGCGAGGAGCCACAACCACAGATGGCCCCTCCTCCTCCTCCTCCTCCTCCTCCTCCTCCTCCTCCTCCGCCTCCTCGCGATCCGTCTGGCCCCTATGGGCCGCCAGGCATAGCAGAAAACCGAAACCCCGACACAAACTGAATACATAGTTTCTCTGATCGAGGAGCCGCGCCCCTCCAAGTGGCGGGGGGGCACAGAATAAACACCCAGACGGACCCCCAAAGGCGAACAAAAACTGTCTCTGATGACGACACACCTGCGCACGCACGCAGGCACACTCAGGCACGCACACTCTTTCATCCACTGGCGATGTGACACCACGGTCGCGGGAAACGGGTGCCTGAAAAACTGCCCGAGCTTGACCGAAGCTGGCGCCCGAATTGTTAAGAGCACGCCGAGTGTGACCGAATATGTTGGTTCGAAGCCAATACCTTACTCAAATTCGGTCAGGTGCTTGGTCACGCTACTCTTTCGGTCACGACTGCGGTCACGTGTTCGGTCACAGTTCTTGTTCGGTCACCGACCTTTTCGGCTGACAGGGGACGGGCGCCACAGCGACGGGCTGTGCGGCAGCACATGCGTTGAGGGCAGCACTCGACGGTGAGAGCGGACAGGCACACGCATGCACGATCCCTCCCCATGGCAACGTGACCCTGTCGCCAGTCAAGCATGTACGGGCGCCTGCGCTGGCCTGCAGCCGCGGGGCGGAGGCGCACCCCTGCCCTCGACGGAGGTGGAGGGCAGGAGCACAGCCCCAGCGGAGGCGCAGCCCAACCCCGCGAGCAGGGGCCGCACGGGCAGAGAGGCAGACGAGCAGGCACCCAGAGAGAGAGAGGACAGACGGGAAGCGGAGGCCTCCCAGACTGGGCCGGAGTGGATGGAGTCGGAAGATCGCGCCGCATCGCCAGCACATTGCCAGTACATCGGCGATGCATCGACGCCGTCGGCTTGGAGAACATCGGGCTCCACATCGAGCCGCATCGCCCATGCATCGGCGATATGGCGCGGTCCTCCGACCCCAGCTACTGGGACCCCATCTAGGAGGCCTGGATGTGGGCACCTTCTGCGGCAACTCACCACGCTATTCGACGCTAAATCGACGCGAATCGACGCTAATTGACGCTAAATCGGCGCTCTCATCGATCACCAGACGCTAATCGACGCTCACATATTCTAAAGACGGAATTGCCATGGCACACAAGACTCCCATGATTTGCGACCGAAGGCACCAAAGGGTTGTGACCCCTGTGTGGCGCGATACAGCGCCCAGGGGCCCAGGGCAAGGAGCCAGGGCGGCAAGGAGCGTCGGCAGCAGCAGGGACCAGGTAGGAACCGGGCCCGACCCGAAGACGGCCCCATGCCCGACCAAATCAGAAGCGCACCCGGGGCAGATTCCCGTGGAACCTGCCGCAAGCGGCCTCCCGATGACGCAGGAGCAGCGCCGCATTGACGGCAGGACCAGTCCGGGCAGCCAGGCGCCGGCAAGGAAGCCAGGCTGAACGGAGGGGTGGCCAGGCCAGAGAGCCCGCGACCGACGCGGGCGAGAGGAGGAGACGGAAAATGGCGACGGGATTGAGACAAGCCAGGTGCGCTCGCGTCATCTGGCGTCCTAACCGTCCATCCCATCCCTTACCATTGCGTAGAGCCCCTGTCTATTCGCCCAGTCGGATGTCAAAGAGGACAACGATCCCGAAAGGGTACGCAATGCACACTATGGAATAGCATAGCACAATACAGCATTGCATATCATAGCATCACAGCGCAGGGCATGGCATCGCATAGCGGGACATAGCATAACATTGCAAGACACTACGTAGCCCAGCGCTGCATGTCACAGCACTACAGATCAAGGCATGGAATCGCAAATTGGCAGTATATCACAGATCATTGAGTTGCATACCAAGGCTGCAGGAACGGTAAAGCTGGAAAATCAAGCTGGAGGACCGACAATTTACGACAACGCGGAAATGAGGCCAGCGCTGCAGCGGGAGCACCATCAAGACGGACTGAAAACGTGGAAAGGAGACCAGCACTAACCAGCACTGCAGCGGGTACACAATTTTGAAGGACCGAAAATGCGGAAGTTAGACCAGCGTTGCAGCGGGAGCACGGGTTTGAAGGACCATGAGCGCGGAAATGAGGTCAGCGCTACAGCGGGAGCACAATTTGGAAAAACAGGCGATCAGATTTGAAAAACATATCAAGAAAGACCAACTGTTGAAATCCTGTGTGAAAATAATGCGCGAGAGGGCGGAGCATCTTCTCGACAGAGTCAGGGGAGAGAGGACAATCGCATTCATCATCTGCACTGCCGAAGCAGCAGAGTCGGGCGTTGGCAGAACTGAAGTTGGTGGAACCTGGTTTAGTGATCTGTACCAGGGGCGCCCCCTCGTCCCATTTCCACTAACCAGAACTGCCGTCACCCGAAGAAACACCAGCTATGGCAAACCTGGTTTAGTGATTCTGGCCAATTCAAAGGCTCCGGGGCCCTACCACTGACCGGTTCCCTTCCCTGGTGTCCTGGCAATACCCGACAGAGGCCCATGGAAGGTCGTTAATAGTGGAGTGTCGAAGTGGGGCGGAGCGACAGCTCGGGGGAGTGTCACGCTGACAGGGGGCTTGGCGGAGCGAAGCCAATTCTGCCTCGGCGGGGCTCACAGAGCTTCAACGGCGCCATGGATCCGACTGTAGCCTTGCCCGTGTCGGCCAACAGAAAAAAAGGGCAACCGGCGCGGGTGGTCTTGGCCGACGTGCGCCCGCCCAGCCCAGTTCAGGTAGCGGAGCCAGGGGTCCCAGCGGTGCTGGATGACGTCACTGGATGGCCAAGGCATGGAGCTGGCTGGAGCTGCCTGTGGTGTCCAGAGGACTGTCCCCGATGAGCCGCCTGGAGGCCGCCGGGCCCGCTGGGGGGCAGGAGGGAACGTCGGCCGGTACCCTGAGTGGTCGGGTGACCAGTGCAGTGGCCTAGAGGGGGTCGTCTGCCCCAAGCGAACGTATGCATCCCAGAGGTGAAGGAGTGGGAAGAGGACTGACTCGGGCTGCGACCTACTGAGGTGCCTGGGCGTCCCCAAAGCCATTCGCTAGACTGTTGGGTACCAGGGGACGGCGCATGGCCCCCGCTCTGGCGGGACAAGGAGGGGGGCAGGGCAGGCTTGCGAACGGCCGGGATATTGCTCTTGCTCTTGCGTGTGCTGGGAGGGTCGGCTGCAGGGGCCTGAGCGCCCGCAGAGCTCGCAAGGCCAGGCAGGGGGCTACGTGGCCTGCAGAGGCTGGGCTGCGCTGTTGTCGGCAGGAGGCGTGGCCATGGCGTCACTCGGGGCAGTTCCAGCAGGTCCAGCCAGCAGACGCGAGCCCCTGGGGGTAGTGCATCAGCCGTCCGCCAAAGCGGAGGGACGCGAGTGGGGCGCTGCCAGCCGCAGGTCAACGTCGAGGCCGAGGTCGCGCTGGGCGTTACAGAGGAGAGCCAGGGTACGCGCCCGACGCACGTCGGGGCCCAGTGTTGTCCACTCTTCGTCAATGCACACGCTTGAACACTCGATTTTCCTCCGACGCCGTGATGAGAAGGCACTCGCGGGTACAAATGCGAGCGGAACGCGCTAGCGACAAATTGCCGAACCTGCGTTGAGGCGGGCGCTGAAACGCACCGTGTGATCCTTGGGGGAGGAGCGGGCACAGAAAAGAGGTGCAAGGAACAAATGCGCGACAAAACTATAAACTCGCGTTGAAGCTGAAGGAGAGAGGCGAAGAAGAAGAAGAGGACGAATAACAACAAAATAAGAAGAATGAGAAGACGAATCATAATAATAATAATACGAATAATAATAATAAGAAGAAGAAGAAGAAGAAGAAGAAGAGGAGAAACAAAAGGATGCCAGCCGCCAGCCGGCACGCTGGAGAGGCGCCGAACAGGCAAAGCGAGGCCAGGCCCTACCGTGGACAGGGTTCAGGTAGCACGGACAAGGACGCATGGAAAACGAAGAAAGACTGGCGGAGACCGAGGGGCGAGTAATCTTGCGGGCACGCACAGACTCAAGCACACACACACACAATTTTTGAGTCGTCGGCGCAGAGGAGCCTCAGGGACGGTCGGCAATTGGAGGTGCCAATTGCGAACGAACTTAGTCGAACGCGCCATGATAAAAGAATCCAGCCACGGGCATGCTGATTGGTGGTGGAAAACAATGAGGCGCTGTAACGCCAGGATGCAGCGTCCAACGAACCCGCGGAGCGAAAGCTCAACGCAAGAAGTTGAAGCGCAAGCAGCAATCTTGGTGCGAATTAGAGCCTCAAGAGACGACAGAAGGAGCTGCAAGGCTGCCAGACCAGCCAGCTTGGTGACGGCGCATAACACGCACGAAGCTGAGCGGCAAGGCGGCGCCACCGGCCTTGCAACAAGCACGACAAGAGCGCCACGCAACAAGATGCAAGAAGTCGGCGTGACAAAAACAAAGTTGAATGCGAGCAACCGCGACACTCACATACACACACACACTCACATACACACCTACACACAGAATGACACAAACCCACACCAAACAAAAGCGAGCAAGACTGCCATTGATCGTTTTGGAACCTCTTCACCCCCTGCCCCTCAGAAGGGCGGGGCCGCCACGGTCCTTCACCCAATTGCCACCCCACCAGTCGAACACGTGGCGCGGCACGCCAGTGCACCGCGTGGTGAGCGTCTGCTTCGGAGCCGAAAACCTCGGCCCCTCCAGCGCGCTGCGGCACAGCGAGCACTCCCGAGGCAGCGCCTCCAGCGCTGCGCCCCCCTCCTGGAGGGAGAAAACTCTAGGGGGAGACCAGCTCAGAGGGGGGAGCGTCGGCCTGGAATCGGCGATGCACCGCCGATGCATCGGCGACAGGCCCCCGACGTGGCATCCGCAAACTCCTGGGCGGGGTGGGCCGTCGGCCCCATGCGGGCGATCAAGGAACGAGCCCCCCCCCCCGAGCCTGCCCCCCCCCCCACCTCGTGGTCGCCCCGCCATCCTGGTACCCCTCCTCCACCACGCCGCCCGCCCCGCCGAGGCCAGCCGCCGACCTGGCGGCGGGCGAGGCCGCGCTGGACGCCCCGACGGAGGGCGCTCGAGCGGCAGAGGCCGCCACCGCCGCCGCGGGCGACGCCGCCCCGCCCTCGGGAGCGGCGCGTCGCTCCGCCCCCGGGGGAGCGCCGACGACCGGGGCGAGGTTTGCGGCAAGGAAGAGCCGGCTGCGCTCGGCCTCGCCGTCGAGCTGCACCCGCCAGCGGCCCTCCTCCCCGAGGAAGCTGACCAGCGTGCCCTCCAGGCCGTTGAGCTCTGGCCTGCACTGGACGCCCTCCAGCCTGACGCGCCCCCCTGGCCGCAGGTCGCCCGCGCCCGCCGCCGCGGACGGCACCGCCCGCCCTGCCGGAGCCCGCGCCGCTGCGGCAGCGACGGGAGCCTGCGCCGCGGCGGCGCCTAGCTGGCGGAGCTCCTCGACCAGTTGTGCCTTCAGCTCCCTCAGGTGAGAGGGCAAGAACCCGGGCGGGAGGCTGTCGGGGTTCAGCCACTCAGATATCTGCTCGCAGTACTGCCGCAGCGCGGCGGCGCAGTCCTCAGGGCACATGTCGGCCACGCGGAGCTGCATCTCCGCCTCCAGCTTGGCCACCTTCTGCCTGCTCCTGCCCGCGGCGTCGAGCCAGGCGTCGCCCTCCGCCTCGCCCTGGCCCTTCTTCATCTTCTTGTGTTTCTTACGCTTCCTCTCGCGATCCGCACCGTTGCTGTCCTTCTCTTCTTCCGAGCGTTTCTCCCTTCTTCTCTTTCTATGACTGCCCTCAATGTCTTCTTTATCATGTCTACGTTTCTTCCCTTTCTTGTCCTTTTTCTCCTTCTCGCCCCTGCCCTTCCCGGCTGGGCCGCCGCCCTCGGCGGCGCGGCTGGGCAAGTAGACCCGCTTCCACTCCTCAACGTGAAAGCGGCATATGGGGCACCGGTTGTCCTGCCGCTGGATCTCCATGGCGCAGCCCTGGCAGCAGCACATGTGCATGCAGGACACGGGCAAGTAGTCCGCGGACATCTCCTTGGCCCGCCCAGTGTTCGGACGGCATCAGCGGGGACGACGTCCGACAGCAAACGCTGCCCGACAGAGACTGCCTGCGACTGCCGTCGGGCAGACGAAAGCACCTCACCAGACGGACCACGCTCGCCCTCGGGCCGACTGCGAACCCTGCCCAGATCGCACAGGAAGCGCCGCCGGCCACCGCCCCCGCTCTCAGAAACCCCGACGTCTTGACTTCTTCACGACGCGAAACCGCCGGACCTTTCGACCCCCCTCCCCTGACCCCCGACGTGGGCCGTCATGATTTGTTGGCAACGTCATGATTTGCTGGCAACGTCATGATTTGTTGGCCAGGTGCCTCGACCCATTGCCCTGGAGGGCCCCAGGACCAGGTTTCCGCCCCGAATCGTTCTCTTGACGGCCACCAAGGCCAGTGAGGGTCCCCAGAGGCCGAAAACAGCGCCAAATCCTCACGCCGACAATTTCTCATGACTCCAGGGAGTCTGGGCACCTCCCGGGGCGCATCCTTCGCCGCGGACCGCCGCCCGATGGCCCCCGGGGGGGGGCCCGAGATCCTGGCCTCCGGAGGCCCCAAAGGGGCCCCGAGGGGCAGGCCGCCGCGAGCCTGCCGAAGTCGGGGGGGCCCAGGCAAGGGGAAACGCCAGGAACGGGGGGTTGGGGGACATCGAGCTGGGATGGAGCGTCGATGCATCCCCCCCCCCCCCGAACATCTCTTCCCCCGTCGTTGCCCCCGACGCCGCCTGGGCTCGCCCCCGTTCCGCTTCGGAGGCCCAAAACCCCGCTGCGGGGCGCCCCAGTGGCGGTCCATGCACACGACACACAGCCCGTCGGCGCCCAGCTCAGCCGCGCCCGCGGCGGCCCGCGTCGCCGCAGGCGCGCAGCGCGGCGCGCCCTCCGGGGCCCCGCGCCCCACGCGGCCCTGCAGGGGGTCTCCCAGGCCAAGGGGCGTCGGTGACGAGATCCCCGCCGGTGGGTTGCGGCGAAGTCGGTCCGTTTGCTCCTCTCCGTCGCCGTCGCCGCCTGGGGATGGGCGGCGGAGTCGCTCCCGGTCCAGGCGGTGGTGGGCCTCTTCCGCGGCGACGAACAGATTCGACACGGCAATCTCCGCGTCCAGGCGGTCCCGGCGCTCCTCGGAAGGGCATGAAGCAGGAGCAGGAACAGGGTGAGGAGGGAGGGAGGAGGAGGAGAGAGGTGAAAATCGGGACTAAGAGACGGAGAAGGAGTAGTAGCAGGAGCACGAGAAGGGGTATGAGAGACAAGCGAGCGAGGAATGGAGGGGGAAGAGGAAGGAGATGGAAGAAATAAGCGTGAAGGAGGAGGAGTAATGGGGGGAGTGACGAGGGAGAGAGGAAGAAGGTAGGACATAGGAAGGAGCGCTGCGGGAGGCAGGGAAGAGGGAGAACGGAGGCAGGGAGGCAGGGAGGAGGCGGGTAGGGAAAAGAAAACGCACAACCGGCCAGGAATGAAAAATATACCCCAAAGAGGCTGCTAGAAGCACTGGTACGCGGGATGCACATGAGCAGTATGACTTGCACACCACCGCCGACCCAAAGCCCCAGGCGGTCGTGGTGGTCCCTCCCGATGGGCGAGGACAGAGAAGGAGGTAGACTGCATTGTTTTACAACCGTGGATTCCAAATAATGGAAACTTGGAGTTTGATTTCTGTCATTGCCGGAAGCTTCCTTAATAGTGTGGCAATCATCTTTGCGGGCCGCAGCCCCGCGCACAGCGACGAAGCTTAGAAAGAGACAGATCGGCGGACGCACGCGGCCAGGCCCTCAGAAGAAGGGGCAGGGATCCGCCTGAGGATCCACCATGCCACACGCATACCCAGGCATGGGCAGCGAGGGCAGGAGGGAAGACGAGGACGGAGAGACACGCCGACAGGCCAGTGCGAAGCGGCACAAGAACACCGGCGAGGACGAGACGCAAGGCAGGCCAAGGAGGCGCTGGGAGGGCCAAGATGCCCAGGTATGTAAGGACAGACAGCGAGGAGGTGAGGGCACGCACAGCCAAAGTGCCGCGGCGGCGTGTGCGGCGCAGCGGGGCCGCAGGAGGGGAGCAAGGAGGGGCCGCAGCGCAAAGGCGCAGACCCCTGGCGGTGAAACGGAGAAAAGGGGCGCACCCAGACGGAGCACCATCGGAGGGTGGACCACGCCCGCACCGGCAGCCAGCCCTGGCACCGCGGCCCCTCCAAGGTGTGAGGGATACGGGCAGCGACGTGGCCATCCAGGGGAAGGGTAACAGGGGTTACCCAAGCCGGGTCCCCGCGTCCAACCCAAGGTTGGGGGCCACCTCGGGCCGGGTCAGGCGTACGACGGCTGCGGTGGGGAGTGGGCCCTCTGGGGGGAGAGCTGGGGGAGCGCCCGCGGTGGCGGTCCCCCGGGCAGCCGAGGAAACGTGGCCGAGCGGGGGAAGCCCTCCCGCCCGGCCAGAGCGGTAAGCAACGCACGCACACACACACACACACACACACACACACACACACAAACATGCGTCGCGGCCCCTCGCGCAGCGACAGGGCGGAGAAGGTCAGAGAAGCGGGCGTGCACGTGCGTCTAAAGCGGCCGAGCCCTCAAGCAGCTTGCGAACAAGCAGCTGTCACTGGCGCCTTCGGTCGAGTTCCCTGTGGCGGCACGAAGCGTGCGAAGGGTGTGCCGACATGGAGGCGACGCCGCCATATGAACCCCGCCACGAGTTTTCGGTCAAGCTCCATTTTGAGCCAAGCAAAGAACGTGTGAGGGGCGTGCCGAAACGAGGCGGGGACACCATGCGAACGCTGGCATTTGGGCCCTATTTGGAGCTCCCTGTGGAGCCACGAAACGCGTGAGTGGTGTGCCGATATGAGGCGGCGGCGCCATGCGAACTCTCGCAGTTGGACCTTGGTTGGATCTCCCTACGAGCGCGTTTCTTTATGTTCGGCGATGACGGGCGTCATGAGGGGGGGGGGGGGGGGGCGAGAGGGGGAGGGCGAGGGGGGGTATGACGTAACGCCCCCCCCGCCGTGTGGCTCCGGCACCGCAGCCGCGCCGGCGCGCGCGACGCGACGAGCGACGAGCGACGAGCGACGAGCGACGAGCGACGACGACGACGACGACGACGCGAGCAGCATGTAGGTGGCGATATGCCCCACTGCGCCTGTGTACACCACAACGCTCGCGTGCACCGCAGCGCGCGTGTATACCACAGCGCCTGCGTATACCGCAACAACCGTGTGCAACGCAGCGCCTGTGTACACCACAGTGCTTGCGTACACTACAGCGCCGGTGTACATGTGCACACCGCAGCTACCATGCGCAACACAGCGCCTGTGTACACCACAATGCTCGCGTGTACCGCAGCGCCTTTGCACGCCACAGCGCGTGTCTACACCACAGCATCCGCGTGCAACGCAGAGCTGGTGTACACCACAATGCCTGCGTGCATAGGACAGGTAGAAGGAGCATGTACGTGAGGATCTGCTGCGGACAACTAAACTAGATGCCACGCCTGGAAAGTGCGGATAATCGAATGCAGCGTTCTTCCCTCGTCCCTCCTCCTCCACCTCCACCACCTCCTCCTCCTCCTCCTCCTCCGCTGCCTCCTCCTCCTCCTCCTCCTCCTCCTCCTCCTCCTCCTCCTCCTCCTCCTCCTTACCCCCTGTCGTGCGGGGGGGTGGCATTACAGCGCACGTGCGCATCTCAGCGCGCACCGCAGAATGGTCTATTACATCGGTCCACTTGGTTCTCGGACGGCCAATTTAGCTGGAGCCTCCTGGACGCACATGGGAGGAGTTAGGGTGATGCGGGCGGACTCGGGAGGACTCATAGATTCCAGCGGCGCTCCGTTGTCCATAAGGATTAGTTTGAATTGTTTTCTCTAAAATCCACAAGCGCTCCATTTTGTCATAAGGATTTGTTGAAACACTCTATATACAACAGTGGTGCTGTGTTGCACACGGCTGCTGTGGTACACACAGGCGCCGTGGTGTACAGAGGGAATGCAATGCACGCAGGCATTGTGGTGTACACTGGTGCTGTGTTGCACACGGCTGATGTGGTGTACGCAAGCGCTGTGGTGTGCACAAGAGCTGTTGTGCCCGCAGGCACGGTGGCACAAACTGACGCTGTTGCACGCGGCCGCCGTGGTGTACATAGGCGGTGTGGTGTACACAGGCGCTATGGTGCACGCAGGCACTGTGGTGCACACAGGCGTTGTGGTGCAAATCGCCACCTACATGCTGGCGCCACCCGTCCTGCGTCATTCCTGGGCATTCCCAGACACCGCCGGAGCGAAACGTGACGTCATCGACCCCCTCCACCCCCCCTAGATGATTGCCGTCATCGGCCCGGAATGAAAAACAGGCTTTAGCCGCGTCCGCGCGCACGAGGACATTTGACCGACGAGCGACAAGCCACGAGCGACGACGACGACGACGACGACGACGACGACGACGACGACGACGACGACTGGGGACCAGAATCCTATGTGGATTCCTATGCGGACACGTACGCGGATCCCATTGCGCACGGCGGCAGTGCTCGGAGCGCACTGGGGGGGAAGCGTTACGTCATAGGGGGGTGGGGGGGGGGAGCGGGGGCCATGACGCCCGTCATGCCCCAAGCATTAAAGAAACGGGCTCTATAGGTGTGCCGAAATGGGCACGCGGTAAGCAGAGTCAGAGAAAGGAGGGGAGGACACCGGGAGGAGGAAGGAGTGACGCGGGGCGCTGTCTTTTCAAAACGAGGACCCCGAAGACCACAGGTTGGTTGGACAAAAGCACTATGGATGTGCATGTTTTCTAGAATGGAAAAAAAAGAAATCGCATAATAGCAACAAAACATGGGAAGCGGGAGCGAGTAAACAAACGAACAACGCCAACGACACGGGGCTATAGTGGAGCGCACCAGGGCTTCTACAAAGGCTCAGGTCCCCGATATGCCGCAACTCTCGACCCCCAATGTGCCCCAGCTCTCTTTCCCGCTCTGAAGGCTGGAGACACTGTCTGCTTTCAACAACTCCAGCCTCAGAGGATGCGCCAGGCAGGGTGCCCAGGATCTGCCCCACCCAAGCCGACACCACGAGGCCGGCGGAGGCCCCCCGAAGCTGCCCAGAATTCGCGCCCTGCGTAAAAGTGCAGACGAGAACCCCCCGATTCGGATCGCGCCGCATCCATTCGATAGTCCCCGGGGCCGAGGACAGCCACCGGATGCGGAGGCGGCCAGGAGAAGACTTGCGCAGCGCCTCGAGGTCCAGGACCCTATAACTTGACTCTCCTCTCCGCTCCTCTCTCCTCCTCGATCCTCCCTCGATCGTCCCTCCAACCCTCCTCCTCCTCCTCCTCCTCCTCCTCCTCCTCCTCCTCGTCCTCCTCCTCCTCCTCCTCCTCCTCTTATCCTTATTATTATTCTTATTAGTATTATTATTAGTATTAGTATTATTAAAATTATTATTATTCTTATCAATAGTATTACTATTAGTATTGTTGTTATTATCCGTCTTGCTATTAATATTAGTATCATTATTATTATTCATCATATTATTGTTCTTCGTATTATTCATACTATTAATATTATTATGGTGATTAGTATGATTAATATTGTTATTATGCTTCTTATTAATATTATGATTATTATTCGTAGTACTACTATTATTCTTATGATTCGTATTAGTAATCATCTTCTTATTAGTAGTATTATTCTTATTATTGTTATTATTATGGTTAGTCTTATTATTATTATTAATAATATTATTATTATTATTCTGAATATGCTTATTATTCGTATTATTATTAGTCTTATTATTACTATTCTGATTCGTATTCTTATTATTATGATTCCTCCTCTTCCTCCTCCTCCTCCTCCTCCGCGATCCCCCTCCTCCTCCTCCTCCTCCTCCTCCTCCTCCTCCTCCTCCTCCTCCTCCTCCTCCGCGATCCCCCTCCTCCTCCTCCTCCGCGATCCCCCTCCTCCCCCGATCCTCCTCCCCCTCGATCCTCGACCCTCGGCCTCGATCCTCCCCCCGCATCCTGCGGCGCCACGGGCGCGCTGCTCGACGCAGCGCCGGACGCCTCCGGCGCGCTGCCAGCGCTCGGCGGAGGGGAGTCGGGCACGAAGAGGGCCGCCGCTTCTGGAGCCACCTGCGGGGGCGTAGATGAAAGAGGAACGAAGAGGGAGGGGGGACGAGGGAGGAGAGAGGAACGCGGGAGGGAGAGAAGAAGGGGAGGGAGGAGGGAAGACAAAAAATAGGGCAAGATGGGAGTGAGGGAAGATGATGCTGATAAGGATGGAGGGCGAGGAGGAAGGAGCGAGGCGTGCAGAGTCGTGCACGAGGATGGACGGAGTCCTCCATCGCGCAAACATCAGCGTGTCCAAGTCGGTCTGCCCGTCTGGCGCTTCTGGCCAAAAGCAAAGTGGACACCAACAGAAATCGCACAGAGATTGAAGCCCCTGCGTGGAATTTCGTGGAACGCCTCCAGAGCCCAAGGGTCCATGCAATAGGATGCGCTTACGGGTCAATCCCTTCTGAAGTTTCCGCCCTTGCTTGCGCGGATCTTCACGGAGTGCGGTTTGTGGTAAATTATTTGACCGTGCGCGGAGGGGCCGCGATCACAATTTATTTGATGTTGACAGGAACGGCGGGCATGCCATCAGATTGCTTGGGGCACTGGCCGACCGTCCCCGTCAAAACATCGCAACGCGCATGTTGCGACCAAATACTGGACCACGCGCGAAGGGGCCGCGACCATTTTGCAATGTTGATTCAAAGGGATCGGCTGTGCTCGCATCTTGTCTGGCGCGTGCGAAGTGCAAACTGATTGCGCGTGCACACACACACACACACACTTTGGCGTCGCGGCTCCGCGCGAGGCGACAGGGCGTAGAAAATCGAGTGCAAGCGGCGGAACTCGCGCGTCGGCCGAGCTCTCAGAGACCACTTAGGAATCATCCAGGCCTGGATGGCGGAAAAGGACACTGAACGGACGAAACTATGGTGAAGGCGGAAGGTGGCATAAGCCAATCGGGACTGGAAGGCGGGGAGAATGAGCAACCGAGGAATGGACCGACAAAGGAGTGCGTCAGGGAGCCACGGCGGAGTGCGAGCTGAAGGCGGCAGAGCCGCAAAAGGTCGGGAGCCGCGAAAACCTGCAGGGCCGGGCGGCGCGCCAGAAACGGCGGCGGCCGCGGGGCCGCCCCTGAGGGAGCGGCCCCGGCCGGCCCCCAGAAAGAGGGGGGGTGTCTCGCGTAGCTCGCCAGCCGACAGCCCACACTGCAACGCGTCTATGTAGTAGGCCACAAGGACGGACACTGGAGGATGCAGGGGCGCAAGCGGTAGGACGTCGCGAGTAAGACGACGAGGTTGGGATCGAACTGCACCAACTTGGCGAACTTCTCCAGGAGGGAGATCTCGATCCCGAAGGCGACGGCGGCATCAGAGTGGGAGCTGAACGGAAGTTGCGCGTGGTCCCCGATAAGGGCGCTGGGGGCGTTGTCCATGGTAGCAAAGATGACACACACACACACACACACTTTTTGCGCGGTCGCGGCCTCGCGCGCAGCCACGGGGCGAAGAAAGTCGAGCGAGCAGCGCGGAACGGGCGCGCGCGGCTGGCACTAGGCCCTCAGAAGCGGGATCCTATTGGATCGACCGCGCCATAGGCCACCCGGGCATGGGTGGCGGGCGAGAAAGTGCGACAGCGCCCGAGGTCGGGGGGTACGAGCAATACAGCGACGTGGCCACAGGGCGCCGACAGACATCAAGGCGCGAGAGAGACCACTTAGACGAACGCGACGAGCAGAAGCGGCGGCGACACAGACCCCACCGCAGGCCGCAGCCGAGGTGGCGGCCGAAAGGCCGAAGGTGGAGACAGTGACCAGCGCGCGACCAGAGCGTCAGAGGCGCGCGGCGCGCGCGATACAGTCACCAGAGACGAAAAGGTGTAGAGAACACAAACACACACACACACACACACCATACGCCATGCTGACCACCACGCCGCCACTATACATTCGCTTTTGACAGGGATGGCGGGGATCGGCATGCTTCCCGACGTGTGCGGCCACGTGGGGCAGCTTGATCACTGCTCCTTCATAATGTTCACCCCCTCCCCCACCTGATCGGCGACAAGCCCGAAACCATCAGGGGCCCCCCTCACCGTCCCTGTCAAAAACTATAGATGGTCCGCTTTGCGGCAAAGTCTAAATCACGCTCGGGCCCCCGCGATCACTCCACAGGGACGAAGGGGGCGCCAGCATGTTACCCGGCGTGTGCAGGCCCACCATCCCAGTCAACAACCAATGCGAAGTGCCCGTTGCAGCAAAATCTTGGACCATCAGGGATGAGGGGGGGTGCCCTGACACACGCGGCGCACCTCGCGGGCGTCGCACTCCTGCCTGGCGTCTGCATTGGTTCCCGATGACTGTCGATGGCGGCCCCTGCCCATGCTGAGACTCGGGTGCCACTCGAGAACATCGGGTTTTGGCCAGCTGGCCGGAGCCTCGCCCCGCCTCCCTCTCTCTCTCCTCTGCTCGCCTCCGCAACTGCTTTGGTCTCAAGCCTTTTCGCCTTTCGGGGTGGGCGGGCGGGGCCATAGCGCAGACCTCCGGTGCCTGGCCCGGCGGTGCCTGCCGGCGGTTCATGGAGCTCGAGGTCGAGGCGCACTTCGAAGGGAGGCAGCGTTCAGGGCGCCGGCGGGCCGCGCAGCGGCGCAGGCCGAGTAGGCCAGCCCGCGGCTGAAGAGAAAGCTGGGCTGCTCGGACGGCAACGTGGAGGAAGACGATGGAGAGGGCATCATCACGATGGCCCGGGTCGCCACCATCGAGTGCTCCATCGCGGTGTTCGCGCTGATCGCAGTGGGGTGGCTCGACATCTCGCTCGGGGTGGGCTTCCACGGCGGCTTCGCAGCTGAAGTCAGGTTCGAGCACGCCCAGCATGACCAACATGGAGTTGACGCCGACCGAGAGGGAGGATGGGGCTCCGCAGCGGAGGCGAACCGCGCCTCAGGCGGGGCGCCTGAGAGGGGCTGCGAAGGAGAGGATGAGGGCTGCGAGGCGGCCCCATTGGGACCGCAGCGACGGGCAGGGGAGGCCGAGGAGATGGACGCCCTGCGCACGAAGCTCTCCGCCTCCGAAGGCCGAGGAGGCCAGGCAAGAGGCGCGGAGGTCCACCCTATGCCATTACCTCTGCCCACGAGCTTCAAGAGCCAGGTGATTGACCTTTTCGGCTGCTACTACTACCTACCACGATGGAAGTGCCAGCGAGGAGGAGAAGCTTGAAGCAGGAGCGGATGGGCAGGACCAAACGGCGGACTGAGGCCCTCAGGACGGCCCCTCCGCTCAGGAGCCCCCGCATGTGGCCCAGGCCTCGCAGAAGGGCGAAAGCGGAGCTGCACCCGGGGCCTGCAGCGGACTCAGGTTAGGACGAGAGATACGAGGACTGTTTCAGCCGCCTCACGTCTCAATTTGTATTTTTGAAATGGCTCGGGGAGAATCTCGGGATCACCCTCGGCGCGGTGCTGAATCAGTTGATCCGCTTTGGAATGGAATTGGTCAATGCATTCGGCGAGTACATATTAGGTCGCTACTGGGAGTACATATTAGGTCCCCTCCTGTCGTGGGCCCTTGGATCGGGGGCCCTGATATTCTAATCGGTGATCCAGGCCGCCAGGCCATGTTGTGGGCTGGGCGGGTCATGGGCTGCGGGCTGGCCTTGTATCGAGTGGCGGCTGGGTCCGCCGCCAGCGGTAGGACTGCGGTGGGAGCGTCGCCGTTCTCAAGGAAGGACGGACCCGGCACGCTTGCATGGCATGGCATGGCCCAGCAAGCCATCACCCCGTCTCCGTCGAGTACGTCATGGATGAGGCGAGGGCGCGAGGATCCCAAATGTTGCCCAAGGACCTTGTGGTCAGAGCCGGAGGAGCGGTCGCGCAACTTGAGCGAGGGTCACCCCATGGAAGCAGGGCGACGCAGCATGGCTACATGTATCCGGTGCGCAGCTGATCGCACCGTCACTTCAAGGCCGACTTAGAAGCTACTCGAGGCGAGGACGGCAAAGGTATGATCCACTCGTGCGCGGCCACCGACTGCACCCTCCCGTGCGATGGCAAGAGCATTCTCCACGTCGTGCCCTCGGCCAGCCTGGGCCATGATGAGGCGCTGGACGTGGCGGACCTGGCGAAGCTCTCCCCAGGTGAAAGCGCCCGAGCGCGGGGTTGGCGTAGCATCCCGGGTCTGGGCCGCAGTCTGAGAGGTGCCTGGAGGAGTGCGCGCTGCTGCTGCTGGAGGAGGAGGTCGAGGCACAAGGGCCACGAGGACGGCAGGCCGCGGATGGAGGTGCTGGACCCCAACTCTGAGGCGCAGTCTGAGCCCAATGACGAGGTGTGCGAAGCCAACCGCGTGGCGTACCACTAGCAAAGTACCCACCCGAATCCGGTGCCCGAAAGGCTGCCGCGACTCCGCCCGCCCGGAGCCCGTGCTGATGCTGATCAAGGACAAGGGCATCTCCGACTTGCGCACCTTCCCCGGGGTCGAGGGCACCAAGACGTTCAGGGCCTGCTCCCTCCACGCGCACGCGCAAGAGTCGCAAGCAGCCGCGAGGACGTGCGCCCGCTACCACTGCTACCACGAGAAGGTCACCGAGAGGGACGGCTACCGCTTTGGCAAACCCCACGCATCGGATCGCTTTGAAAGTTGGCGCCCAAAGCCGGTTTCCCCGGCATCTGGATCGGGCCGTCCCCGGGTAAGGCCCCAGCTCAGCTGGATAGCCCTCACGCGAAGAAACTCATGAGCGCGCCGCAGCTGAACCACGTGAGGGGCCCTCTGGCCGCCCACGACGAGGAGTGGGACGCCTACTACGAATTCCGCGCGAGGACGGTGGGCCTGGCTCGGGACTCAACCGAGGACGACCCCAGGACGGCGTGAGGGTCTCCATCCAGGACGGCGCCCTCCACTGCCCCAGGCGAGAATTGCTCGACGAGCCCTTGGGCGCCCAGCCCCGGGCTATCTGCTGGCCTACCAGCGCGGAGCCGCGGCTCTCGGAGGACGGCGACGGCGTCAACGAGAAAGGGGACCGGATGAGCCCTCAGTCATTCGCAGCGTTTGGAGGGAACGCCAGAGCGCGCCGCACCATCTAGCGTGGAGG